GGAGCGTATCACGGAGCGTTTCACGTTCTCTTCGATCAGTGAGAGATATGTTGTCTCCTAGTCAACAAGCGCTACTGCAACGAACGCCAACCAAAAGTCCTGCGAGCGTTAGGCGCAGCCCGAGACTGAATCTTGAGAACAAACTCGATAGCGTTCTCGACACTCCCTTGAGCAGAACCATCACACAGTTACTATCCGAGCCGAATTTTGATTTGAACAACACAAACTTTGACTTTTCTAGTCTTCCATTGCTCGACACGGACCCTTCCAACTTGCTCGAGTTTGGCAACTTCCTCAGCGCCGATGGCATGATACAAAGCTCCCCAACGAAAGATAGTACTCTATCTTTCTCGTACGGAGGTTCGGATAATGTCTGGACTGAATGGGATAGTACTGACAAGGACAAGACTACAGCTGAGAAGGAAAAGTAACAGCAATTTTATGAAAGCGTGTTTTGAGTGTTTTTACAGCTCTGTTGGTCAACAGGTACACCATGAGCATGACGGAACTGGATGTTTGATTTGAACAAGGGCATATAAAGTAGACGGCGTTTGGTGGGTTTGCAAAAATATGAAAGCAACAGCGATTGCTGTTCCGATTACGGACACGATACGATACCTTGATAGTGGCTAAGAAATGGCCTATTTAGAAGCGATTTGCAGCGGAACGGTGCAATAAATGGTTAATAAAACTATGACTTTACTCTGTTCCACCAACTCTTCTGTTTGATCAAAAAAAAATGACTGCATATCAATCTACCAATGCACTGACCTCACTTGCACTGCAATCTTATCGCCCACTTAACGCGCTTGGAATTTAGTTACCTGTGATACGACGCGTCTAATCGCGCCCACTTTAGTCCCCTCCAAACATTTTAACCAGCTCAATACGATCTTCTTCAACGCAAGATACGACACTATATTGTGTCAAAATTACACTCCGTTATCAATTACCTCCCGCCGTACCTATTGTCGCCCAAAATGGCCGACGCCGAAATCCAAGACCGCTTCTCCCCCAACAAGCCGCTTGAGCCTGATGTTCTCAGCGAGCTAGAGTCCATCATGCGCATGCACGGCTTGTCTGCCGAGGATCTCTTCTTCAAGTGGGAGTCGTATTGCATAAAGCTCGATATCGATGCTCAGGTTTTGAGTCTTGGGACTCTACGAAACCTGAAGCAGAGCATCCAGGACGAGCTCGAAAACAGCCATCGAAAAGTTCAGGTCAAGACGGAAAGGAAGGTTGCCAGTGCGCCCAGGGGCGGAAACAAGGGCGGGGATGTCTTTGGTATGCTCGATGGGCTTGTTCCCAGTACACCAGCTTTTGGTTCCAAGTTGAATCGAGGTGCTTCGGGAGGCAGTGCAGTCAAGAAGTTGGATACACCAAAAGGGTCGACGAGCTCACCGGCAAAGGGGATGAACGATCAGCTTAAATCCCTAAACGGTCTTCCGTACGTTCATAAACCTCATTTTTGCACTCAATATGCTAACGAACCATAGACCTACATCCTTTAGCGATCGAGCCAACCCAGGAGAGACTATAGAGGTCCTCAACGACCGCCTCAATGCAGCCGAGCCACCAATTGCGCCCTTCTCCGAACCTCGAGTGAAACTTACAGCCGCCTCAGACCAGAAGAAGCTGGGATACAAGCCATTGGCTATGAAGCTTTCCGAAGCCAGTGAAATTCTTGACGATCGGATTGATAACTTTATGGCTCTTGTCCAGCAGCATCACAAGATTGATGAGAGCGAGTTTGGAAGTGCTGCGGCGCAAAGTACTACTGAGGTCGTGGCTGTTGGCCGAATCGCCTCTGATTCACAAGAGGGTAAGCTCAATGCTGCATCAATGGTGCTGGAGACTTCAAGGCGGACAGGAATGGGCTTGAGAGTGCCTTTGAAGATGGACAATATTCGCTCGTGGAGCTTCTTCCCTGGTCAGATCGTTGCGTTCCGAGGAACCAATGCCTCTGGAAACGAGTTCTTCGTCAAGGAGATTCTCGATATACCTCTTCTTCCCAGCGCTGCCTCTTCAACTTCTGCGCTCGAAGCACATCGTGAGAAGTTCCGAGGGGGCCCAGATGCGATGGAAGAGGATTCAGAGCCTGCGCCTTTGAATATCATATATGCTTCTGGCCCATACACGGCAGACGATAATCTTGATTTCGAGCCTCTCCATGCGCTTTGCAGCCAAGCCGCCGATACTTATGCAGATGCGCTTGTTCTCACAGGACCGTTTCTCGATATTGACCACCCTCTCATTGCGACTGGTGACTTCGATCTTCCTGAAGAGGCAAACTTTGACCCTGACACGGCTACTATGTCGACTGTGTTCAAGTACCTAGTTGCCCCTGCTTTCAATCGTCTGGCATCCTCAAATCCTCAGATCACCATCGTCCTCGTTCCTTCAGTTCGAGATGTCCTGTCGAAACACGTCTCCTGGCCTCAAGATACCATCCCTCGTAAGGAACTCGGCCTCCCGAAAGCTGTCCGCATCGTCACAAACCCCATGACTTTGTCCATCAACGAAGTCGTGCTTGGTGTTTCATCGCAGGATATCCTCTCTCAACTACGGTCGGAAGAGGTTGTATCCCGCGGCGGACCGCAGCCCGGTACAGATCTTATGGGCCGCTTGTGCAGATATCTTGTTGAGCAGCGACACTATTTCCCCCTGTTCCCCCCTACAGATCGCTCCAAGCTCCCCAAGACCGGCACAGAAGATGGTGTGGCTACTGGTGCCGTGTTAGATCTGAGCTATCTGGAGCTAGGCGAGATGGTGAATGTCAGGCCAGATGTGATGGTTGTGCCTAGCTTGTTGCCCCCCTTTGCAAAGGTATGGTTGTCGTATTCGATCTCCAGGTTTATATTACTAACTATACCATAGGTTGTTGAAAGTGTCCTCCTTATTAACCCTGGCTATCTGTCAAAGCGTCGCGGAGCTGGCACTTACGCACGCATGACATTATATCCTCCAGCGGTGTCTGGTGGAAGTGGCGATGCGATGATGAGTCACCAGATATTCGAACGTGCCCGTGTTGAGATAGTCAGGATATGAGTAATATAACGAGATATGTAAAAGAGAGAGTTAAATTCGAGGCACAAATGGTTGTGATCGGGGGGTATTATTAATAGTATATTAAGACCAGGCCGTGGTGTCTACCTGTCATCCACCCTACGTCTCTTGTCACTGTCGTAACGCTCATCATCGCGCGACGTACTTCGCTTGCGACGTCGGAAATCGTCTCTGTCTCTATCGCGCCGCGGCGATCTTGACCTTGACCGCGATCTGGTTCGACCGTGTCCATCATCTCTATGTCGTCGATCACTCTTGCGGTCGCCAAGAGGGATGGCATTTGCGCCGCCAGCGCTCCGTTCATCGCGACGGAACCGATCGTCGTCTGGTCTAAAACGCTCGTCGTCTTCATAACGTCCACCTCCTCTCTTTCGGCCATCGCCAATATCTCCCCATCGACCTGTATCTTCCGTGCGCATATCCTTATATTTCGTTCCACCTTTGCGTCCCAACTTGGACATATCGCGAAGTTGTAAATATTCTGGAAGTGCTTCACGATTCCGCACATCGTCTTGGATGCGACTGCCCATGATATCTCGCTTATCCAAGCCAGCTTCCTTCATTTCTTCCTGGTAGAAGGCACCCTTGTGCAGATAGCGTTGCTTGAAGGCCATTGTGCCCTTGCCCTCCTTCTCTTCCTTTTGTTTCGCCAAGAATTCTTCGTCTTCGGCTTGTCGTTCTTCTTCTGTTAGGTTTCGTCGGCGCTCGACTTCCGCAAGCTCCTTTTCACGCTCTTCGATAATGGCGCGCGCACGCTTCAAGCGCTTGAGTTCGCGGACGCGCCAGGCTGCTTCTTCAGCCTCCGGGTCCAGCCCGTCTGTTGTATCCACATCTGAGGCTTCGGCATCGTCATCTACCCAGTGTGTTTTGCCTGCTGCGCGCGCAGCGAGGTCTTTCTTGATCTGCTCTTCTACGAGCTCGTCGGCAGCTTTCTTGCGGGCCTCTTCCTCGGCTTGTCGTGCTTCCTCTGCCTCCTGCTCAGGGTCCTTGCCATTTCCTCTTTTATTTTTCGGTACGAATTTTAGTTGCATCATCTTTCTCCGTGGCGCTTCGTCCTCACTGCTCTCCTCCTCTGATTCGCTTTCCTCCTCGTCATCGTCGTCTTCTTCCTCCTCGCTCTCTTCCTCTTCCTCTGTCACGAAACCCTCCTCAACGGCTAGACGCTCTGCCTTCTCTTTCGCGATTCTTCGTTCCTCGGCAGCCTGTGCTTCTTTTCTTCGCGCATCGAGGTCGACTTTCCCCAAGTTACCAGATGATATTTTTCCAGCGCTGGTCGCTTTTGGTGGTGGAGGGAGCGCTGGCTCGGTGGGCTCTTCGTTCTCGCTAGCGTCAGAGTCGGAATCGGACTCTACACCCGTAGGTTTACCAGCGCGATATCGCGCTGGCTTCGCCGGGTTCGCTGTCATGCGTTTGGGCGGCATTGTGATTAAAAAAAAGATAACTCAGAAAGTGAGGATGAGAACGCGATGCTCGTGACGTTGAAGGCTGGTAAAGATATAAAACAGTGGGGCATGTGCGATAAGCTTATCGGGCAAGTTACCCTGGAAGCAATTTGAAAATCACCAATTTGACGGGTTCGGGGTTAATTCGCTTCCTATTTGATAGATTCTGTGTAGCCAGTCCCTTGGGTAAGAATTGAACATCGTAATAAGTCGTAGAGTGTAAGTGTCGAACTTCAAAAGTACACCCCAGGCAATCCAAATACTAATTGCTATAAGTGAAATCGACCCAAGTGCAAAAATAAGCGTCTCACATCCAAGAGTCAAGGTGCAAAAATAGATGGGGGAAAAACTACATTTAACGGACTATAAATCTATATGCTACCTTCTAGTTATAAATTCCATTATAATCGTCTATCTTAAACAATTGTAAACCGTGATGGCGTGTGGGACCACCTCTTTCTATCCCAAACATCATCTAATTCTATGATCTACTTACTCGCGTCCAACTTCCTCGAGACCCTTGACAAGACCCTCGACAGTTCCTGTCAAAGTCTGACAGTTGACCACAACACGGAAGAAGCTGCCCTTGGGTCCTGGTGCATAATCAACCATGTATCCTCGAAGAATCATCTTCTCGACCATCGTCTTAGTTCGGAGGGTGTTCTCCTCGTTGTTGTCGGGCAGGATTCCTCCAGGGGCGTTGTAAAAGCAGATTTGCAAACAGGGAGGAGGATCTTGCGACACAAGGACAAAGTTATCGCTTTGCTTGATGAGATTGGCTAGGTAGGCAGCCTGCTCGAATGCTTGATCGATTTGCTTCTCAAAACCGGCCGCACCATAGTAGATCCAGGCCAATGCAAGCTTGAGACTGTCGCCACGACGGCCACACTGCAGTGTCAGATCTGCAATATCCCAGAAGTCACCGCCGTCGTTAGTATGGAACAAGTAGCCAGCAGCGGTGCTGTTAGCCTTGTTGAAAATGCTCATGTCAGGGCCCAGGAGGAATGAGCAGGTGACAGGGACGTTCATCATCTTGTGAGGGTTTACCGTCAGTGAATCAGCAAGATGGGATCCGTTAAGCTTATACTTGTGCTTTGAGGAGAAGATAGCCGGGCCACCCCAGCTAGCATCGATATGCATCCATAGACCAAACTCCTTGCAAATCTTGGAGATCTCCTCGAAAGGCTCATATGAGCCCATGACAGTAGTTCCGGCTGTAGAGTTGACATAAAGGGGCGTCTTGCCCTCAGACTTGGCCTTGAGAACCAACTCTCTAAGAGCCTCGGGTTTCATGCATCCGACCTCGTTCACAGGAACAGGCCAAACGCTGTTGGAGCCCATACCGCAGATCATGGCACTCTTTTCAACCGAGTAGTGGCCGTGCGCACTTGTGAAAACCACAAAATCATGCTTGCCGTTTCCCTCAGTTCTGCACTCGGGGAACAAAGTGTTGCGAGCAACCACAAGAGAAGTTAGGTTCGAAGAGCTTCCACCCTGGCAGGAGATACCACCCGCTCGTGCTCCGGTGAAGCCGAACAAATGGGCTAGCGTCGTTGCTGTAGTCTTCTCAATAATGGTGAGAGCAGGAGAGACTTGGAAAACATGCAGCTGGGCAGTGTTAGTTGTTTGTTTTAGGAAGCGGGCGTTGACGACTTGCATTGGTGTTGAGGACGGACAGAACCATGTCTGATACCACGCCAACCTAAGATCCTGATAAGTATGCAATTTATGTAACACAAGGGATTAAAGGCGACACCTACTGCATTCGTGCTTGCATAAAGCTTATCAAGAAAGCCCTGATCCCAAGTATTGACACTGTTCTTTAGTACTTGTTGAACAATATCCAACAGACCATCCTTGCCTTGTCCATGGTTCGGCAAAGAGAATTTGAGGCGCTGGGCAAGCTGTTCAGGTTTTTGAAAGTCTACCAAGACATTGTCTTTTACCCCGAATGAGTCGGGTGTAATATCTCCAGTGGCACGGTCTGCGGCAGCATCATCAGCGGCCTTAATGTAAGGCACGATGAGACCACGAACGGCGTTGATAAGCTGTCAATGTAACGTCAGCGACCAATCAAGTCTGATGGTTCAAATATGTTTGTCTCACATCGTCTACTTCTTCAGCCCTATGGAGGGTGGTTGTGGTCATGGAGGGGTTCCCATTGCGGCCGTTGGTTACAGTCATGGCGGCTAAGTTTAGGCGTGGGAAGAAAAAAGTAACGAATGAAAAAATTATGCAAAAACACTATATTCGCAAGGTTTTCTGATACATATGCGGTACTTTATACAAGTGAGATTTGAATTGAGATAATAAAAACATAAAATGGTCGAGTCATATAAAACTTTGCGACTCGGAACAGACGGTAAAGAAAGCCATAGTTACTTCTCATGTCTCGTGACTCGAGGGAGTTATTGCGTATTTCTGGGGAAAGAACCAATTGGTTCTACCGAGTCTTTTCCGGAAGGTTAAGTCTACCAACGACAAGTCCTCACTAACCTGTTAGTTGAGTTCCGACGATACAGACCTGGTCTACCTAAGTCAACATTCATGTCTAAGCCTAGAAGATAATTGAACTTTGGCAAAGGTACAGGGTAGATAGATGACCAGGCCTTTGGATGGGAGAAATAGGTCTTAGCTGAAATCTTCAACGCTTTTAGGGTCTTATCAACTCAACTGAAACAGTGATTCAAACCTAACCCTTGCACAATTTCTTTTCTCCTAATCTCGACGATCATGAGCGTACTGCAGCCCTGCTCGTCTTCGAATTTTGAACCTTGGACGCGCTTTTACTGTTGATCGCGTCATGCTTGAGAACCGTTGCGTACCTGTTCAAGACTACCTGATTTCCACATGGGAATAAGGATAACCAAAAAGTAACAAATAGGTCTCAGATCTTGTGTCCGAGACCTGAAGATCACGGGGTCCGTGAAGACTATTGCTAATCCTCGTCAAATTTCTGTCCAGTCAACGGTGTTACTGTGCCCTAGGCATGGATGGACTCGGACTCGGACAAGAGATAGAGCAGCTCAGTTCGTCCGCCCTGGCACTAATATAACTGAGACAATGTCCAAGTTGTGGTAAAAAAGAAAGAAAAAAAGGATGGCTCGAGCCTTTCATAGTGCACGGTAGAGCAAACTCAAGCTGACCTGACCTGATGTGATAAATTATGTATTGATCCATTGTGTCTTGTCCGTGCGACGAACTCAATTGGATTTAGTTATGCTACGGGCAGAATAAGAACCGAAAGTTTGTTAATAGGGTTGTGCAACGAGACTACCAAGGTACTAAGATACGGACGTTTGGGGGTTAACAGTTAGATACTCTAGCATCTAGTAGAGTGTGGGGGAAATACCTCTGCCTAAATATCATGATGAGTTTGAAAGGTGAAAATGGAATGCCTAGGGGGGAACATATACCATAAATGGAAGGTTCAAATTGTCATTTGGCAAGGATTCTGTTATCACTTGCACCGTCAATTGTGATATTCAATCACATCGGTTCAAGGACATGGATACTAAAGCCAACAGGAACCCAAGCTACGGCCGATTGCGGAGAAGGATTTGATGAGATGAAATAAAGAGGTTGTATTGGGTGATGGCTGTATGCCGTTCTTCCGTTGCATTACACATGCATAGGTACTGTGGCTTACCTTTCTTCTTCTCTTCATATGTACAGAATCATCCTTTTAGGCTTTAATTCTAGATGTGGTAGGCTTGGCTTGCGAGCTTGTCACTTGATATTGAGGTGCATGTGCAGGCTCTCTCCACATGGGCTGCAACACCCAGGTTTGAAGACGGACTTCAAGCGAGGAAAATCTCTGCCTTGATCGGTAGATTTTACCTTTTTCTCTTAGACCCCGGACAAATAAAAAAGATAAGGCCTCTCGCCTTTCCTTGCGGACCTCGCGAACCTCGGACTTGTTAACAACAGAAAGCTTATTGAGGATCAGCACAGCCATTGGACAAACAGGGGCTTCACTTATACGATGAGGTGACGCGTTGATAGAAGAGAATAGAAGCTCGAAGGAGGCTGTGAAAGAGTGTGAGTAAGTGAGCGAGTGTCTATCTGCCTGCCCCTGATTTCTGTTGACAGCCATCCCATCCCCATCCCACCCCTTGTCGCTTCTCGGTTACCTCGCACATCACCGTATACCAGCTTTTCGGGATGGAGCGCAGTCACTGACTTTGAGTGCGATGCTACCTAACCTAACTGTATTGTTAAGAAAGATGGAGAGATGGTCAATTGGGTATCCATATGTACTGGTAATCTATACTGGTATTGCAATCTCATGTCAAATTCTAGCCTCCATAAAAAGCAGGTTATATGTCGCCTCTATGCTCATCTGCAGATCACATAATGATCCGTTCACCGGAGACAAGATGTCAATCTAAAATTAATGCTAATGCCTGATGCCCAAATCAAGACACCATATTTATGCATCCGCTTGGGTACACTTTTTTTTCTTCTTCTTTTCTTTACCTTTGCCTTTTTTACTTTTTACCCCTGCGCCTCGGACTAGACTAGAGGCGCCACAAACGTCTTCAATCCTTGCCGCGCCCCATCTCTACCCAAGCTTTGAGTCCCGGCCATAGGTGTCCAGTGGTGCAGGCACTAACTTTCCTAGTGGTGGGCAGCCTCTATACGGTACGCTAGCTACAGCGCAGTACCGTACGCTAACCCTGCTAGCCTGCTTGTCTGCCTCCACTATCTAAAGGCTTGCCTTGAACTTGACCGCGGCACCTTCAGCCGTTATCCCGCTACCAGGGGGAAACCATGGCTGTATCTTGAAAGAGAACCGAGAGAGCTTGCAGTAGAGAGGGAAAAAAGAAAAGGGAAAAAGAAACAAGAACAAACTGTTCGCTTCTCTTTCCCTTTTGTCATTTCTCCTTGTTCTCTCTTCCAATCATCCATTGTCTCTCTATTGTGTCATTCCTTTTTCATCAACGACTTTCTCACTACCCCCCTTTGTACCTACTTTCAATCATAAGCTACCAGCTTCCTTTCCTACCTACCGAACTCCTCTTCAAGACGGACAAAAAAGACGACGACAAAAGGGAGAATAAAAATTGTTTGCTTTTGCGCCAGGTCATCAACCAATTCGTCCACACATTCGTCATCCTTTTCCCACCCTCCACTGGATTGAACTGTCTCAGAAACCAAAGCCCCTCTTTCTTCCACTCATTCAAATTCTTTGCATCCTTTTGCAATTATCTGGCCAGAAACTCGGACCTCACAGCTATCTGATCACATCACATAACATCATACTGCATAACGTTACGATCCAGCGTCGATCCTTACTTTCATATCATATCATATCCAATCATTACATACACAAACCTCACGCCTCGCTACCCATTTTTTGCGAACCAACACGACGACGACTACCACGATCCATCACGATACGAGACTTAGTAGACAAACTCAGATTCCAAATCCCGATCCAGATCTACACAACGTTGCCCGTTACAATATCCAAGAAAAACGCTACTTTAATTTCTACACCACCGCAATCCAAAGCCCTTAGCGACGCGCCCGTTTCTAGATCGTTTCTAGAGAGCTCCATCTCTTAGCTCCCTCCACACCCGTTTCGTTTTTGTGCCTATTACCGTCCATAGCTTGAGCTGTGCAACAATCAATTGCGCAACCAGCTACCTCTCTTTTCTATAGCACACACACACACACAAACTCACCAGTCGATCGCTTCGCAAGCGACACAGCACATCACTCGACATGACAGCCCCGATACAAACACATGTCCCTATATCCATCACCATCTGCGGCGACGGCGGGTGTGGTAAATCCTCCATTACATTGCGACTCGTCCGCTCGCAATGGACATCAGACTATGACCCAACTATCGAGGACTCATACAGTGTGACGCGCCGCATAGATGGAGTTACTTACCACCTCGCCCTTACCGACACGGCTGGCCAGGAGGAGTACCGAGGCATGTGGGCATCGTCCAACCTTGGCGCTGATGCTTTCCTACTGGTCTACGACATCACCTCCAAAGACTCACTCGACGCCCTTCAGCACTTCAACGAGCTCATCGATATGGAGGCCGAGACCCGCCTCGACAACGCTGACCGCGCACGCCGCGCAGGTCTACGATCTGGCCACGACACCCGTTCACGCACCATTCCTCCAGTTAAGCTTGTCGCCGGCAACAAGTGCGATTTGCAAGAGAGCCGGCAGGTCCCCGCCGCTCAAGGTCTTGAGTGGGCGCGCAAGCGTGGCTGCGGTTTTATGGAAACCAGTGCGCGCCTAGAGGTCAACATCGAGGAAACGTTTGCGCTCGTTGTGCGCCGTGTGGTTGAGGCACGACGACTCGCTGACACAGGCAACGATTCAGCACGTTCGAACGCGCGTGGCATGACCAAGCCGTTGACGCCCCTGCCAACTGATAGCGAGAATGAGAAGCGTGCTGTAGGAGTGCGAGGGCCGACTTTGCAGGATGATCATCTTGGAGGGAAGAAGGACGGTGGCTTCTGGAAGAGTCTGCGGTGTTGGTAAACAGGAATGGCAAAATACACGGGTATGGATGGGCAAGGGAGAGAAAAAACCACGGGAGAAGGAAAAGAGGCTTTGTGCGTCATTGTTGGGAGGGATCTTTCAAAGGCTTCAAAATCATATACCAGGGATACCTCGGCGTCTAGGCGAAGGGCTTGGGTTTTTTGTCATTTTTATTTTGTTTTTAACAGATGCGTTCTGTTCGGGGAGGGAAAGGATAACCCCCACACATCTGCCATCAGGAGTTCTATCTGCATGGACAATGTTCTTTTGTTTTTTTCTGTCACCTGGGGGAATCGTTGGCACTGTTTGGTATTTTGACACCCTTTTTGCGGTATCTTGTCCACAGGCGAGTTGTGTTTGTTATGTTAACACAGTGTGGCCCGGATGTTATGATGCTTTTGTCAAAGACCATGTAATCCTGTCAGTACCTAGACGTGGATGAAGAATAGTAATGCAGAATTGCCCCCATGAACTATAAGTTTCCGTAAGTCTTACTAGTAGTTGCATCAAAAAGTGATATGTTGCATGTTGCGATTCTGAAGGCCAAGCTTCTGAGTTCAGGTTAACCATGAATGAGATTTATTGTCTGTAGCTGACTGTTAGATGAGGGTGTTGACAAACCCAACTCTACCTTGTAAATGTAGAATAAAAGAGAAGAGAAGTAGAAAAAAAAATCATCGTCATCATCAAGAGATTTACCCTTGTGTCACCGTAAACGCCAGGGCCTCTATGTCTGGAAGCAGCATCTGTTAAACCGCCAGCTCACGCCTCAACAGTGTCCCGCCACTTCTTGTAGTCATCATACTCCAGAGTAGTCTTCTTGCCCTGGTAACGCGTAACCTTGAGATCCAAGTCCTTCCAGTGGCCCCGGCTGCCAGTCCACCCGGCCTTGCGGATGAGGCTGAAGAGCGTCTCATCCTTGGTCCAACCCTGTTCCGAGGCGACATCGGGTAGATATGTGGAGCCGTAGCGGCGGCCGCGGTCGTGGAAGGAGAGCCGGATGCCATGGACGCCAATCTCCCAGTCAAAGATGTCATCGACCTCTTCAAAGTCGGTGAGTAGCGTGACTGCGACCTGCAGCGTTGGCAGCTTAGACTTTCTTATGGGAGAGAAGCGGGTGTCGTGGAGGGCGGATATGAGAGCGTACTCTGGGATACCTTCGGAGAGATCTTGGGATTCAAAGGTGCCGATGCAGCCGCGCAGCATGGGTTCGCCGTCATCCATGGTGTTCCATGTCACGAATAGCGGGGCGGAGCTTGGGGAAATAGGCAGGGAAGAAGTGCTTGTAGCAGGTGTTGAGGCACCTAGCGAGGTCGATGAAGACGAGGATGAAGCACTGGCGTCAGGGACCGCGAGGTGTTGAAGACTGGGATCGTCGAGAGCTTTGGGCGACGTGAGCTCCGACTCTGGCGTAGGAGCCGAAAGTTCCTGGATTTCCTCTAGAGTCAAGGCCTTTCGATTGTTGAGATGAGCATCGAGCGTCTCGAAGCAAGCGAGACAGTGTTCCTTGGTAGCCATCGGAAGAAAGAGAAGACTGGAAAAAGAGTCAGGAGACTTTGTTAGAATGGAGTAGTTGTTACGACTGGAAGCAGAGGCGGCAAGAGATTACGCCTTGAGAGAGAGCACGGGACGAAAGAAACTGTCAGACGTAGAGGCACCGAAGTAGAGAATGCGAGAGGATAGCAGTTGCAGAATGTGGAAGAGGGAAAAGAAGAAGAGGAATCAAGCAGAGCAGACAGAGAGTGTTGAGATGGTTAAACATGGAGGGGTAATTTACCCTGTGGAACTTGCTATGCTCGCCTCAGTGACAACAAACCCAATTCAAAGACCAATACAATTCAATTAGTAGAGTCATGAAGAGGGGTTCAAGGCGCTAGAGTTAGGATTGTACGCGAATAAAAGCGTCATAATTGCCATGGCTGGAAAAGGAAGCTTTGATTGCTTAGGTATCTTCTAAAGATGGGAACCTTGAGCTAACGTATCTCCAGGCGGTTCAGGCCTGAATTGCCCCATGATCATTGTCGCCTAGTCCACTGGAAGTCAAGTTAACCTTTTTTCGTAACAGACTGGGTCCTCGTCCATCTCTAACTTTAAAAGGTAATCTTTGCTTGACGAAAAGAGAGAACTTGATCGGATGAAACAACTACTACTCTGCAGTGGGCATTACCTATAATGATATATTATGCCTTGATACCAGGGTACGAAGAATCGTGGAGAGGCGAAGCAAGCGGTAGCGATGATGCTGATACAAAGCCAAGTATCATCTTGCAACCGGAAGGTGGACAGCCGCCAGTTTGATCATCGCGCCCCGGTTACAGAATCGCTCAACTCCACGTTTCAAGCCCAGGATCCGACTCTTAATTCTTGATGATTCATCTTTAATGCTGGGAGTTTACACTCAAGAGCTTACGAAGCTCTTGATGACCAAGCGTCGGCTACTTCAAGTCCCGAATAAGGCGCATGGAGTAGGTAGCAGTTGGCGCTCGAATGCCGGGTCTGATGTCCTCAAACACGTCTCATGAAGCTTATTCGGTGTCTCGAGTTGTAAACATAAATCTAGGGGGAGGTATAGCATCTTCGAGATACAGAGATGCAGTACAAATAGTCGTATCTTTCCAGCCAGAGCTAAGTATCTCCTCATGCTGAGCATCTCAATCTAAACTCTTCTTCACTTTAGTTTCTCCGTCCAGTCTTTCTTTCTCGTCGCCGGTCGACACCTCAATTCATTTTCTACCAAAACCAACTTACAATCACTCAACTTTCCTTCAATCAATCAAGATGAAGTTCCAACTCTTTACCCTCATTGCTCTTGTCTCTGCTGCCTCTGCCGGCTTGAGTAAGTTCACAAACCTGTCTCCAGTTCAAATGAAAACCATCTAACGTCTTCAAGTCAAGCGAGTCGACGTCAACGTCCCCGCCATGACAGACGCACAGGGCAACGTTGTTGCTTTCAACGCTGCTGAGGTCCCCACCAGGAAGCGAGCCATCGCCCAGCAGAAGCAGCAACAACAGCAGAAGAAGAAGTACTGATTTAAAAGACTCTTGGCCCAGGTACTTGGGTCCTCGAGATTGAGGTGGACCTCGTAATGAACAAACGGACGGACCGGACGGTTGCCTCTTTACAAAGAGATAAAATCCAACCGAATCTAATCCGATGATTTGAGGGATCTCAAGACAATAATAGCGGTTGATTTTTTTTTGGGCTTGTTTAGAATAGGATATAAGGTTCGAGAAATGCAAGCACTGCTCACTTGAACTATTGTGGAATTATGTTGCCTTTCTTGTACGCTGTAAGACGCAGTCATCTTTGACGCGATAAAGCCGTTTGGCTCTTGAAACTCTGTGGCAGTGAAAAGAATTGGGTTCTCGTTATTATACTGAAGTCCTTCTCATCACTATGGTCTTTGTTGTGTTGTTTATCTCGCTACAGTGGCTAAGTCGAATGCGAATTAACCAATCATGTGCCGATCCAATGATTTAAACGGGGGTGCCAGGACACCGTATTGGATACCTAAAAAAGTTGACATGTTTCAAGCATCAAGTAAGCCTGCATCCTCCTTAATAAATACTATGTAGACTAGATACTGAGAAGTTTTCGAATAAACATGATACTATGTTCTTGAATAAGTTATGGGTGTCCCCTATTTTTTAAGACCACAAGTCTCACAATAACGTATTGGCATAGAGTCATAACACATCCATCATTGAAGCTATCCTATTCAAGCTACCTACATGATGCGATGCGACTGCAATCAGCCTTGCGGGCCCTAAAAACCGTCCACTCAACTCGAGTCCCCACAGACCCTAGATCCCCAATTGTGATGACATGGCTTGGCAACCATTGGAGGGCCCTACGAGTGGTCTCTCAGTCCTTCCAACTTCTAACTGTAACTGTAACTATTTGTGGCTAAATATCCAATCCCTGTCGTTGCTACTGTTGCTGCTACTTCTTGGTGCCTATTCTTCATCTGTCTACCAAGACCAGCTCTTTGGTAGAAGCAGACCGACACAAAGAAAGGATCGAGGCGCAGTTCGCTAATAACAACTCTATGCAGCCAAGATGACATTCCCAGATTTTTGGTCATGGCTTCTATTCTCGGTACCTCATGATTTCATTCTCAACTCTCATCCGTTGACCGACCCAACCTCTTGGTGAATACATCCTAGTTTCAGCCCCCACTCAGCGCGCTTTTTTACCTATTCCATCGCCACTTTTTTCCCTTCCCAAGCTCGATTCCTTGCGATATTCGATGAGGCAATGCATTTCCCCCTCTCTCTAGGCCAAGTTTGGTGATTTGAGTCCACTATGCAATGCAATAGTATCATGGCCACAGTCTATGATTCCTCTTGTTGCTATTTACAGGACTAACCAGTGGATAGAGGGGATTGACTCTCTTGATTTTTCCACAATGAAACTCAAAATCAGCCTTGCCGTTTTCAAGAACCAAGACGGACTCGGTCCTAAAGCCATGGGCGTTGAAAATGCCTCTCTCTTCAGGTCCTAGAGGGCCCTTGGCGTGGGCACTGCGCTGCCTCGCGCTTAACCCTGGCGTCAATTTGGAAGGATTCCTTCATTTACCGTTCGAGGACCCCCTCAACTCCGTCTCCATAGGGGCCGTTGAGTTTTAGCTAGGGCTCGGTAGTAAGACAGACGCAGAGAGGATGGCTGGTAGCTTTTGTTTTCTCCCTTTTCTTATGGCTGGAGCTGAAAAAGCCCAGCTGACTTCGAGGCTGACTCTGTATATCTCAACTCTGAGAAGAGCAATCTTTCTTTAACAAGTCCCTAAAAAAACCAACTCTTTATAGGCCTGCAACTAATCGTAGTATGCTGTACTGAACAGAAATGGACTTTTGTTTTTACCGCCTGCAAATTAACAGCTCCTGTGTCATGTTGCAAAGTCCCCTCTGTCTGAGCTGTTCAACCATGTGTCAGCAAAGCTCTCCTCTCAGCCGCAGCCCTCCATCAGCACTAAGCCCAATTCCAGTTGAGCAACCCGGCAAGGCGTCACTCTGGACTGCACACTGGTGGAGCGATGGCTCATCATCCCTGGCCCCATGGATATTGAGCAAGAGGGCTGAGTTCACTCGGGCTGCGGGGAGCGGAGGCAGAGGCTTGATTTGTTGTATGCAGTCCAGTCCAGTAGCTGGCAAGAATAAATAAGAAGGCTGGCCCCCTTCTCCGGCAGGAACTATTGATGCTCAAATGACTGACCCTTGAAAAACAAGAAAACTTGAGGTTTTGCAGGACCACAATCATAATACAATACAACGCACGCAGGACGAAGGCGAAACAGAACTGGCACGACAGCTACAGAACACAACACAACAGAATACCCAAACAGCCTCATGACCGTGATTACACAACTGTGACCGTCTGTTACTGTATGAGAGACGAACAACCCCAAAACAAAACTATTGAGAAAACAAGACTCTGGAGGAGAAGGAACGGACAACAACACAGTCCAGTGCAGGGCATATTCACCAAACACTCCAAAATACACCAAAGAAAACACCCACAACATAAGAAACAGCAACAGTACAGCATGCTTCTAAACGGAAACCATCGTGCTCAGGCACAGTTCGACAGATCAAAATGGCGTGCAATGGTCCTCGTCCCCACCTGGGCCATTCAACTATGTCTGTCCATGGGTATGATGGGCCTTTTCGCCTATAGACTGGGCGACAGCATGAAGGCGAACAAAGATGGGGATAAAAAGAATGATGACCCTACGATTGAGATTGTGTAAGTGGGCACAGAAGCACTTAGCCAAGCTCACTGTTTACTGACCATGCGAATAGATGGGAGGCTACCAATGTGGCACTGTGGTTCGTCGCATCTCTATGCAGTTTTGTCGAAATTGCCAAATACTTTGCAGAGGCCTTGACGCCGTGGACTATGCTCTTCACTCACGTTATCAAGTTGACCTGCGCTATTGCCACTCTCGCCCTTGACATTGTTGTTTACACTGAGAAGCACGATAAGCACTACTCACTCGTAGCTCTGGCGCTGGACTGTGCCTTCATGTAAGTCTCCGTCATCACAAAACCTTATCAATGATTCTTGTACTGACATGCACCAGCATCACCTCCCTCGTCTTGGTCTTCTACTCAGTGCGGAGATACCGCCGCCTCTCCGCTTATGACGAATATACCCATCCCGTTAACGTCAAGCCGTATGGTTTTAACGACGACGTTGAGCGCGATACTTCCTACGCTCGACAGTCGACCGACAAGCACTACTCCTCAGCCTCTTCCAGATCGAGCATCATCTCTAAGCGTGAATCAGTCGAGATGGGCACTGTCCAGCGAACGCCCAGCGTATACTCGCACAAGCGTGATACCCAGTTCGACGACTACGTAGCACGCCGCGGCTCCGTGACGAAAGAGCGTATTGGAAGCGGAGACTTTAGCTACGCGGGGGCTCAGGGCGAAGCTCAAGAGTCTGGAACACTTACACCTACTGGAGCCACGCTTTCCCCCACTCGGCCAAGAGGATATAGCAGCGGTCGGGCAGTTAGCTGGACCAGCGACAGAGGTCTGGTAGCTGTTCCAGAAGAGGAGGATGATTCAGCTACCGGGAAGGAGTCCAAGTTGGAGAAAGAGAAGAAGGACCGAGAAGCTCTCTTGGGCAACACCCCTCGTGAGAGTGTTGATGGTCCAGCCATTCCCCAGGAAGTCGACCTGTCAGAGACAAGATGGCAGCGCGAATAAGGTGGATCATGTCAGAAGACATGAATAGAATGGTCCATGGGGACTGATGCGAGAACAAACCTACTTGGTCCAGATGGTTTACATCTCTGTATGATTGTATATACCCAGAGGAGAAAAGGCGTTTTAGGGAGGTCTATGGACAACATTGTGGCTTGAATGTTGAATCAATTTTATTCATAGCGATCAAAATGAGGAATCTTGGCAATTGTAATTGCGTTGCTGGGAATAAGAAGTGACTTGCGATGTCTTATTAGTGTCCTCAAGTTGCCACCGAAAATGGGAATGGCCCTTTACCCCCGGAAAGATCGAAGGAAATGCTCCAGATGAGAAATTAGAGGGAAGAAGCTGGGGACCATGCCCAGGCAGCTAGAAAACTTGTTGCTAATCACGACGACGTAGTGAGTGAATCTCTGCGGATGGGTATGTGTCACCTCCTTCCGTGTACATCTGGTGGTATTGGCGAACCTAACATCGCTGTGTTTTGAAGGTAAGATTGAATAAAATCAACCATCTTGGTGGTGTTTCTTCAATGCCCGTACGCATATTAGTCGCCGCTGCTGGAGAGGTTTGCATGAATCTTCTCGTAACAACATGTTAACCGAACTACCTAACGGATTGAGGGATATTAGTCTAGTTAGGAAGTCGTGCATGCGAATTTGTAATATACACTCCTGCCAGGAATATCATATTCCGTAGTGCCTCCTAAAAGCAAGTCGCGCCTGATCCGCCCTCGATCATGTTTAGAGGCATTGCCTGGAATGTCGGACATGAAGGATGTTGGCTATTACTAGATAAGCTGAGTTTTAGGATGGCACATGCTTGCAATATTGACAAAGCCCTTTGAATTTTGTAGCGGGAGCGCTCCTTTCTAGGTTATTATTTTGGCATGAAAGGTTAACGAACATCCTTGAGACCGAAAAGATCCCCTTTGCATGATACGCCGAACAGTAAGCCAGGTCAGGCGAAGTGGTCAGAGAAGTTGGAACTCCACACAAAATATTTCGTATATTTGATTAAAAACCCCGCTTTGAAGGTTGAGCAGGCATAGAAGGAGCAACAAGATCGAAGTTCAAATTGAACGGTATTTGACGCCACCTTGTAGGAAGTCCTTCTCGCAGCTTAGGTTCAGACCCTTTGAGTTATCAATTTATTGAAATTATCAGGTTTTGGGTATGACGTGAGAGTTTTCTTCCAAGTCAATACTGAACCAAACTTGCTCTTCATATAGTTGATTATTACAGGTCTTGATGTCAGTTGGTAGCACTTACGCGGCACGGGAGGATCCAGCTGTTAGCCGTCCGAATGATCCTCGTCATCAACTCTCGAAGTGCATTATGGTTAATAGTCGTCTAATGATTGAATAAGTCAGTTATGTAGTCGTTGATGTCAAAGTCTGTTTGTTGGTGATGTAGTTAAACAGGACGAAATGGAAGCTGTAGTGGAGATCGATCGACCCTGAATGCGGGGTTCAACGGGTGTGCCTTGCATTAGTGGCAGGAGCAAGCTACCCCACTTCTCTGAACTTCTGAACGTAGTTTCCATTATGACAAGTAATGATTCTACCCATGTGCACCTATTTAACTGCTATCAATTACTCACAGTCTATGGAGGGAAGCTTGATCTATAAGATGTCCATGAATATGCGGCCCATCCACCGAAGAAATGCAACCTAGTCGTCTCCTTATGGCTTGGCGAATTCCAATTGGAGTTGGTAGGCATAGACAAGTTCGAATCCGTCTCCCTATCGCTTGAGAGATCTCTCTTTCACCCAGAAACTAAAGATAAAGGCCAAGAAAAAGTGCATAGAAGATGAAGCAAGAGTCCAAATGGTAGCAATTTGGTAACTCCATCTCACTTGCTCGGCGATATTGGGCGGTAATTCCTTGATGTACTCCAGACTCTGACGAACCCTTTCTTCAATCTCACGAGCTTCGCCCTGATCGGGAACTCTCGCAATCAACTCTGTCCGAAGAACTTGCTGAAGAACGGCAGATCCAACACTGACACCTATGCTAGAGCCGAGAGCTTTGAAGAGGTAGGAAGTTGCCACGACAACAGCTGTATCTTCGACTGTGGCATTGGCAAGAAGACCAATAAGGGTCGTGATGAAGGCTAACTTCGTTAATTCACTCGAGAAACAATGAATGAACTTCCTTTACATACCACTACCAGTCCCCAAAGCCATGACGACGAGGGCAATGGATGTCCATAGAGTTGATCGGTGCCAGACGGACCAACATATGGGGGCGATCGAAACAAACGCAAAGGCATAGCTAGACAAATTTAGGAAGAAGAACTTTTCGGTTCGCTTGATGACCCAACCGCTCACAATCGAGGATGCGACAGCGGACATCATCACTGGGACAAGTAGTGAACCGCCCTGAGTAGCGTCTAGCCCCTGGACAGCCTGGAAGAAAAGAGGTATGTAGAATATTACTGAGGTCTGCCCAGCAACGGCAAAGAAGTTCACCAGATACGAAGCAAAAAGGGCGCGATCAAAAATGATATGCCCGGGGGCAAGCGGGTACGAAGCAACCTTTAGTTCGACCAATACGAACAGCCCTAAGAGCACGGGAGTCAAGGACAAGGCAATGAGGGTGATGAAGTGTGACCAGCCTCGATTTGACCCAGAATCCAGGCCAACAAGAAGTGATACCACGGCTACCACGAGGGTTAAAGCACCGAAGAAGTCAACTTCTCGAATCTTGGAGAGCCAGTGATCGTGCTCTACCGGTGGGAGGTCCAAGACGAAGTAAACGGCAACGAATGCAGCAAAACACAATGGCACTTGACCCAGAAACGACCTGCATACCTGTCAGTTCAAATCGAATGCCTGATAATGATACGCTTGGAACTCACCATCGCCAACCGATCGAGTCAGCCATGACTCCTCCAAGAGGTGCCCCTGTGGCAGTACCGGCGAAAAAAAGAAGACTGATCTTTCCTTGCCACATTCCACGCTCCTTCAATGGCACCAGGTCACTAAGTAGAATAGTCACCACAGAGTTCATGCCTCCTCCCCCAATGCCAGATAGAGCTCGCGCAGTGCAGAGCTGGGCCATTGACTGAGCCAGGCCGCAGCCAAGACAGCCAATGGCAAAGACGGTGTAGGCAAAGAGAAGACACGATTTGCGGCCAAAGATATCACTGAGCCTGCCATAGAGAGGCTGTCCGCTCGTGAGTGTCAGGAAATAGCTGGCAGGACGTCAGTCGATGTTCAAACTGGTACTTTATACTGATAGTCTCACGCTGTGGCCATCCAACTAGTATTGTTGAGAGCATGGAGTTCGTTACCGATCTTTGCGTATGTTGCGACGGTTATAAGCTGATCCACAGCAGCCAGATAAACCTAGTAAGTCATGTAAGTATATCTTGGCTGTTTGCAAAAGCCCAGAATTCTTACACCAATGCCAACAGCTGCCAGAAGTAGATTCATTTTTCTGTCTGAGTACACTCGTGTTGGAATATCGTCTTCCACACGTTGGCCATTTTCAGTGTCTCTGATACTTGTTCTATCACCCCCATCATCTCTGAGAAGTGGTGAGGTTTCAGATGGACTTTCTGAATTTAATATGTTCGGCATTTTTACAATGTCAGCTTGTGGTGGGAATACAGGTCACAAAACGAGGAGTTCTGTCAGAGCAGTGCTATCGTGGGCTGAACATATGTTAAAGGGAAGAGATATAAAGATTAATCTAGAATAGACTTAAGTAAGATCACTGTCTATGATATAATTATCTATGTCACAATACTCAGACTATTTTCTTACCTTCTGTATCTGACAGTAAGAGTGAGATCTGAGCAGCCATTAGATGAATCTAACGAAGGACATCATGCCATAAGAGACTAGCTTGTCACCGATAAGAGTGAGTGTATCTAGTCAGGGAACAGAGGGGAAACAATGAGATTTGCAAGCTGTTCAGTTGACTGAGGTCCAATGCTGGGTCTGACAGGCATACCGGCTTAAGACTGGCCTCAAGATGAGGTTACCATATGCTCTGTGGAACAAAAGAAGACAAGGGTACTAGCCTGATTGTGTGACTTGCGCACTACTTCTGTAAGACAGAATCTGTTGGACTTGATTTGCGTGATGGGCTGCAAATACTATTCGTGTTTGTATCAAGAGGTGTACTACTGCAGGACAAATTATAGTAATCCAATAATTGGCATTTCCTGCTGTAACAATGATCAACTGAACCACGCATGAGAAACGTATGTCTGCCTTTCCGACGTAGAACATAATCTCAGGCTAAAGTTTGTTGTTTGTACAAGAGCCCGCTACGCAGTAAGAACTTAGATACAGTAAGACAACGCATTGACTACCTATTGCCCAATTTGCATGTTGGTTAACAATGTAACTTATGTTCTGCTCGCATCATCGCCTTGATAACACGAGGATGTTAATACGCAAACCTAACTAAAATGGAAACAAATACGAGAGTTCCAAAGCAATAAGTTGTACCTGAAAGATGATTGTTATGGCATTGATGTGAAACATGGAAAGGGTTGGTCAGTTTGAACTGCTAACAAGACTCAGATCGGAGACTAATCCGGGTCAAAAGTTGAATGTTTTCCGCTGACCAATACCGAAGGCGTCACAGAGGAGAGACAATAGCGCGTCATAATTGTATCCTTCTCAAATGCTTACTGTATATGTTGTCTTTTGGGCACTCTGGGCAGTGATTGCATTCGGATATTACAGGATTCTATAGAGGGTGGAGCGATGCTATCACTGCAGCTTGTAATTAGCTGTGGAGATGCTTGGATGCACGCTGGGGGGATCGATCGCCCCGAGCGTGCATAAGATGTGACGTGTTGAGTTGGCGGGCGATCAAGAGCAAGGGTCGATATAACATGTCCGCGGATACATGTGCAAATTTATCACTTCGGCATGCTCGGCTTGGTGATGGCAAGACGTGGCGCAGTAGTGTGAGTCTCTGAAGAAGATGTCCTTGTGCAGTGAAGAATGGGATATGAATAATTAGAGTCATATGTCATGAGAGGAGGGAGAAAGGTAAAAGACCCTTCTGTTTGGTTCAGATTGACATAGTCTACAGCTGCATCTAGCTATTACCTTGGTAGGCTGTGCAACTCGAGTACACTGTGAGACGAGATGAAAAAAGATGGGTCTACATGCATACTTATTACGAGTCGGCCACCCACGAGGAAGAGCTGCAGTTATCCGATGCTTGTGAGTTTATTGGTATCACGATTTGAGTTGTGGTACAAAGCACGAGTATAACCCGTATTTTCAGGAACAAGGACTAGATACCTTAGTAGGTACTTGAGTAGTTAATAACCATGTGGCCTCTTTTTGGCATTGAATTTTCAATGAATCATTATTAACTGCAAATTGAATGCCTTTTTACTCTTATTTTCCTTCTTTCAGCTGGACAAGTAAGTAATCAATTCTTAATCAATGCAGGGGTGGTGGGAAGTGACGTGGAATCAGCTACAGTGAATCAAGTTCCCCCGCTCAAAACTGGATGGAGATCCAATCTAATGGTCGTTTCACCCTACGCACCCTAGTCCTAGTCCTGGCCCTAGTCTCGCCCCATTAAAAAAGTCCCCTGCTTGCGGATTGCTATGAACCAGAACTTGACGAGCCACAATCAGAAATGTTGTTTGCCTCCTTCCCCTCTCCAAACGGTTCACTTTGAAGCGGCCAAAGAGCCTGCACAAGCCACGACCAAGCCTCTATTCGCCGTTCCCGCAGTATGAGCCAAGTATGTACTGCTTGCTTTTGCTTTCCTAAGAGAACGCCCGAATCCCAACGGCCTAGTCCAAACTTAAGACTACCCGGTTATGGCAGTTTCTCGATGAAACCCTACTTTTTAGTATATAGCTGGACTAAAAAGCCAAGTAAAGTAAACTGCCCGGGCAAGAAAACATTCAATGGGAGGTGGGAGAATACCAAGACGCAAGACCCAGCCCAAACCTGCCTAACACCAAGAGATGGATCGACTCGAGGCCTCCTTCCCTTGGTTAATTCTGTTTCGCCTTCCATCTCACATCACCTTTTTGTTCCTTCCTTGTTTCCTTTATTCCTCATTGAAGGACTTTTCCTTCTATTTTCTTCATCTACCTATTCTTTCTCTTATTCTCTTTCACGTCTTTCTCATTTCTCTCACTCCCTCACACACATTGATTACATCCCACTTAGATGGAAGTTCGTCCCACTTGATTCAATATCAATCTAAACTCACTGCTCCTGCTCCATCTATTCATTCTCTGCTGGTTTCACCTGCTTCTTGTCTCTCCCTTCCCCACTTGATTTCTACTTGGATGCTCCCTCGAGGGGCGCGTTTCCCGTGATCCCCTTCGATCCATATTATCTAAAGGATTCCAGGGCCCGGCATTTCATGCGTTTTAGTTACCCAGCCTTTTGCATTACTTTGCTGTCGCGTCCCCCGGTTGCACTTGTTTTAACTTGCTTCAAGTTAACGGCATTATCCCTCCCCGTCGTCCCAGGTTGACACGACAGATTTCGTCTCATCATGGCTACCATGTTGAACACAAACTCTCTGCAACCGCCTAAAACGGGCACCTCTCGCTGGTCTAAAGCTCTTCCGGATGTCCCAGGACCCAACGACCCAAGCTTTTATGACGATTATTATGAGGAAGCTTCCCCTCGTCTGCCACCAGCAAAAGAACTCCCTCCACCACCACCACCACCGCGCTCGACTAGCATAGGCAGTGCAAACGCAAAATCATTGCCACCATCACTGCCGCCGTTGCATCTGCTTTCAGTCAATCTCCCTCCATCTGGTCCGCCCAAAATGGCAATCCCACGTCGACCCATAGGCAAGCTATCAGCGAATCCACCAACACTACCTCAAAAGGAGTCCCAACTGCCATCTCCATTGCAAACACCTCCCTCACCTTCGGACTCACTGTCGAGTATCTTATCAGCTTACTCACGCTCCTCGGGCGAATCACTGGTCAGATCGCCAGACGAAACTAACAGTATTACTCTCCGAAGTGACGCAAACACATCTCCGAGCCACCAAGTTCCACCTGCCAACACCAAGACTGGCACGTTGGAAAGCGCCCCCACCCGGCAACACCATTTTCAGCAACAGCATCATCAACAATATGATGCACCCAAGTTGCCCGTCAAGCAATTTCAACCACTACCGCTTCCTTCTAAAGACATAAAGTATCATCTCCCCGCAAGTCCTGCTCCCATTCGGAAACCAGTCCCAGAGAAAAAGTCACCTGAACTGAACTCGCCGTCGTCTCAGCAGCAGCAGCCTCAACTTTGGCGTCGTCGATCTTCAAAGGCCGACCGGGGCATTGAGCTTCCCGACCTTACGCTTGTGTCTAGTCACGGATCAACCGCTGCGACACAACCTACTGTTGCACAGCCACCACCCGTTCAACAACAGCCTCCCTCAGTCTCCACAGCCCCGACCTGGCAGCCTGGGAGCACCAACCCAGCAGCTCCTGCTGGCCAGGACGTTCGACAGACGCCAGCTGCTGAGCAGGTGCTTGAGAGCCCAACCATGGGTAGCAGCAGCTCCAAACTCAACCGTCTCAAGGACAGGCTCCAGTTTCACCGAAGAGGGAAGTCGTCCACAGACACTACCAAGTCTCTAACTCAGCGACCTGGGGCACACCGCCCTCCTACTCCTGAATATCAGAAGGAAGATATCAAGACACCCATTGTGGATTCGATTGTTTCACCTCTATCACCCGCTTCATCCCCAGAGCCTGTTGTGCAGGTGTCGCCAGAGCTTCCTGATGATATCCCCCAAATATCTCCCCAGCACCAAAACCAGGAACCTTTGAGAAATACAGGCAGCATTACACGAAAAGCTATTCCAGCTCCCAAGCTTTCAAGTTCCGAGCAGGATAAACCCTTATCTGAATCATGGAATTTGAAGAATGAATCTCCGTCGGTAGGATCACTGCCTTCTTCGCTCACGGATTCGAAGGGCAGTAGAGGACCATCCAGTAGTGATACTGCGGTCCACCAGGTTCAACCTCTCGTAGAAGTACCTTCTAGGTTCCCGCCACGAGATTCATCCGCTCGATCGAATGCTTTGCCCCGACAATTATCAGCTGAACACGACCCACGGCTGGTTTCATCGGATTCTCAAGGGCCTCTTTACAGAGGTAGATATGGTACCCTGTACCCAGAAATGAAGGTCATGCAAGAGTACGACCCGCAAGTCGCATACTTCCCCAAACTGTCCGAAACCCCCATTGCAGAGGGCACCATTTTCAAAGCACCACCTCTTAAGAAGTCACACTTCTCTTGTTATCATGGACATAAGACGATGAACCGCCGGACCAACAGATATTACCCATTAACATGTCAGACTTGCGACAGGTCAGATGTTGAAGATCGATGGACTTGCACTTTCTGTCATTTACGAATATGCGAACCCTGTGTGAAAAAGCTTCACAACAACAGCAATGACCTCCGCTGTATGGTTAACAGCCTGCAGCTTACGGCATAATTCTACTTACACCAACACTACCACCACCAATTTGTTTTTATTAGACTCATTAGTCATCTACGACTTTTTACAGCCGTGATATTCGCACTTATCGTTATTGTGCCTTTTTCTTTTGTTGCGTATAGAGGATTATCGCTGGATTGCTTTGTTTGATACATTGCATGTATTGCGAAAGTTGTGGAAGGAATTGCTGGGAATATATACGCCGCACGATATTATTTGTCGCGGCTCGGATGATATCACGCTTGCTATCAGCAGCACACCTGTCAGAACTGATGGGAAAAGAAGAAATGAAGGGGACATAATATCTAAATGTTGCTAGTCTGATCTTACGATATCAAAGACAGAGATAGGCTCATGTTTACTACTATGATACCGCAATCTGAAGGATACGGATAATACGGTGATGCCCTAGATGGGATCGCCTTAGGTACCCATGAATACTGAGAAGAACTCTTGATAAAAAAAAAACCAACACCAATCTGCAGTAAGTGAAATTATCGATGTTTAGACTGGGACGTGATCCAGTGCAATTCTTGAAGGGATAGAGGGGGGCTTCCATGAGTGAGTTACACCAGATGTCATGAGACTTGATTTTTGCAGACCTCTTACATAATGTTGAAATCAATTGATCTGTCGTGGTTCTAGTCAAACAATTGCGTTCCTCAGGTGGTTCCATGACTTACCTAGGCCAAACATTCGTCTCAGAGCTCCCTTTGCGAGTTTGCGTCTCAGCTCAGCTAGTCAGGTTCCGAGTCCGCGTTACAGGATCGAGGATCCGCTGCAGGCCCAGCTCCACTCGTACCTTACTTGCCGTACTTAGCCCTGGCCGTGCTCCGGCTAACGGAACCCGCCGTAGCTTACCTACCCGTAGCCCAAGCGACCCTTAACTCCTTCATCACAATAAACATTCACTAAAACATCCCATTCCCATTCCATCTCGAGACAGATTGCGAAGGGGGTCAACATGTCCACATTGCAACGCGCGAAATCCATCCGGAAACCTGCCCCTTCCTCTTCCACCACTGCAAAGACAACAAGAACCACCGCTGCTGCTACAAATTCCCCAGATGCAGATCACACACCGAGTCGTCTCCCCATCAAGCCTTTGACCAGAAGCGCAACGACTTCAAGCACTACAACAAGGTCATTGAGGAATGGTGCATCTGGTCTTTCAAGGGCAACTTCTGTCAAACAGCCTACTAAACCAGCAACATCGGAACCTGCGAAGAGAGAAACTAGGTATCCTCCTTCAACGACAACTACAAGAACTCGACCAGCGGTGAGGCCGACCTCGGCAGATGGACCAACTCAAGCTACCAGGAAAGCTCCAGCCCCTTCACACACGCGTGCTAAGAGCACCGCGACCGGATTGAAGAATGCACCTGCATTAAGACCGGCTTCATCGACCTCGTCGGCTAGTAGTACCACAACTACGAGCACTACTACCACCACTGCTACTAAGTCGACTCGCACCCTACGCTCTTCGACAACGCCCAAGGTAGAAAAGTCCTCGGGCGCTGCGCCTCGCCTTCGACCAGCCTTCTCGACCCTCCAACAGCACTATTCACCTGCCAAGTCTTCCGCGCCGAAACCCCTGACCTCAACGTTCCTCGCACCACCATCCCCGTCAAAGCTTCCTGCCAATGTCGCCGCATCTGCCGAGACAAGCAGGCTACAAACCGAACTCTTACAACTGCATCTCCTGCATCGGGATGCACCCGCTGTGGATGCTGCGTGGAGAGCTAGTGCCGAGCGCAAGCTAGGAGAACAATTCTCGAACCTTGCTGCTGAGAGCAAACAAGTTGACGATCATGAGAAGGCGGAGGTCGAGAAGGAGAATATCCTAGCGCTTCGCAAATGGGCTGTTGGTGGTGGTCTGGAAGAGCGTATCCAGGTACTGGACTCGGTCATGAGTGGCCTCTGGGCGCTGGAGGAACCCGGTGGTCGCTATGCCAGGGCCGTAAGACGCTTTGAGCGATGGGTTGAAGGGATGTGTGAGATCGAAGAGGCACGGCGCGAGGGTGGTGCTTTGCTGCAAGAGAGCGACGTGCTTTTCATTGGCGAACTTGATTCTGCGTGGAAAGATGAATGCGCCGGTTTGGTCCGACGATTGGATACGCTGAATCGACAGCTCAGTCAACTGGGGGATTTTCCCGCAGAGAATCAAGAGGAGGATGATACCAAGGAACGATCGAGCTTGCAACGCATGGTGGAAGGGTCACGAGAACTCGTCCATGGCATGTTGACGGAACTGAATGTCATGGAGGATATTGAGCGCGATGCCCTTGCGCGTGAAGATGACTGGATCGAGAGGATGAACCGAGATGAGGACGTGGATGATACCCCAAGAGCTGGAGCAGTTTGGAGAGTTGTGTAGGACGGGCAACATGTTGGGCATGTTTCGCGCGCACTTCCTGAAATATCAGATTAACCAACGTGACATGTAGCATAGACATGAGCGGCATCACAGCAGGCGATTCACTTTCTTCATGTAACGAATAGATTGACTTTCTCCCCCTTCCTTATCAACTCAGGACAGAGCCGTCATATGAGTCCATTATTGCCCTACAGTGAAGCCATGCCGAGTAGAACGTGCTCCTCTATCTATCATTTGTTGTTCGCATAAATCGACGGGATATCAATTAAAAATAAATATTTCGCATTCAAACTTCAAGTCTTTGGGCTCTGATTTCTAGCTTGCAAGAAATCTGCTGATGTTTATTTGTTTTTCTTTTCTGTTTTTGTGTTGTGGTTTGTGTTGTCATGCCTTGGAAGGTCTCCGACCTTAAAACGAACGCCCTCTAGATGGTTTCCACGCAAAAGTCAAGGGTTGTCGTGAAGAAATAGCAAAGTCATAAATAGTAGAAACGAATGGCATCCAGGTACCAAACAGCATATTCGTCAATGCCCTGGTTTTGGAGGAATCAGGCATGGCCATTGATTTTTCAGTTTCGTAGGACCAAGGAAATAATGGAATGGATAGCTTCTCGTCCAGCTACCCCGCGATTTTCGTATGATACTAGACCCCACCTGATTGAGAGAGAATTTGACGTGGTTTTGCATGGTATATCAGGCTACGGCGCAAAAACTAGGTAGAGATGCTTGGTATTATAGCTAGCTTGGAAATGGTATCATAGGAAGGCCCTTCGAGGGAAGCTGACACCCTCGACAGCGGGCTCATCAACGAACCAGCTGCAGCGCTCGCCTGTGCCCTCGTTGACAAGGGTACAGGGCAGGCCACCTTCGGTGTCAAAAATCTGCTTCATGATATCCTTCTTGCCGCCTCCAGTGGCGACAAACGCAACGCGGACAGCGTGGTTAACCACGGGAAGGGTAAGAGTAATGCGCTTTGGAGGAGGCTTAGGGGAATCCTCGATAGGAGCGACCCAGGCGTTGACCTCACGGAGCAGCTCGTGCCCAGGGAAGAGAGAGCAGGTATGTCCATCGGGTCCGCACCCGAGGAGGAGGAGGTCGAAGATGGGAAGACGAACAGAGTCGCGACTAGCGAAGCTAGAAACAAGGGTCTGCTCGTACTGGTCGGCAAGTTCCTGAGTGTCGTTCAGGTACTCGGTGTTGATGGGATGGACGGTAGGCTTCTGACCCTCGGGGATCCTGTCCAAAAGCTCCTTCTTCAGAAGAGCATAGTTGGAGTCTTCGTGGTCGAGAGGCACGGCACGCTCGTCAGCGAAAAATATTTCCCAGCGTGCGAAATCGACGACATCGTTGGAGCCGGAAGAGGGGGCCAAGAGGGCCTGGGCGAGCGTCTTGGGCAGCGAACCACCAGAGACAGCAACCTTGAAAGCACCGTGTCGGGCAATACCAGCAGCTTGGCTCTGAATAACGTACGATCGCAATGCCGGGGCAAGAGCATTCACGTCGCGGAAAGCGAAGAGGTTGGGTTGTGTTTTGCCCATCGTGACGTTGTGATATGAGCTTTTGAAGCTTGTGGTGAGTTATGAGAGAGGTAAGAGAAAAAAAATGGCAAGACGAGAAAAAAGGCAGATGTCAGAAAGGCTGATGAGTGTTTTTTTTCCTGGAGCTATGATTGATCCTTGAACCTGGTGGGAAAAGAGACAAGTACAAGCCAAGGGTATGGAATTGGCAATGGGAGCAGAGAGATTGTAAAGACGTGGTTTGGCCGTTCGTGGAATAATTTGATAAGTCGTGTAGAATGGAAGCTCAGAGGAGGCGGGGTTCCATGGAAACCCGCTCGACGGGTTTTCTGGTTTCTGGTAAGTAGTAATTGGGTACCTACCAACTTCGTCATAACAGTGGATTAAATTCGGTAATCGTCTTTCTAGGACGCTTTGAAGATGGGGAAGTACATACTAACTGACGAGTAGGACCAGCAACTGTGGGCGGAAGGTACGGGGCGGGGGATATGGGATGGGAAGGACAAGGACAGACGGACGGAATGGAATGAACCACGATAGCTTCCTGAGGTAGGTACCTCAAAACGACAATGACAATGACATCTGGTAGGAAGGTACCTATCACAGAAGTATCGGGAGCAAATGGGGATGATTGAATACGGCAATAGCCTAAAACCCTGTCTCAATTACCTGCCGTTGATTGTGCAGATAATGAGCTCCAAACGGTGACGTGCTAGATGGTACAGTAGTCTGTCTGCTATTTTGACTTTCTGGCTCTAGTCTATCTAAGTTTTGTTTGGTTAATTTTCTCTGATCATGTTTCAAGATAATGCAATGCAAGCCAGGACGACCTGCCTGGGCCACTGCACATGTTTAACTGCGTGCTAATGACAAAAGGCTTATCGGGGTGCCGTTTATTCCAGGCCAGTTACCGGTTGACAGGTTGGAGGTTGTCCGTTGGTCTAAGTAAGCATACAGTACCGACCTACAGTAGATAGCACGTGGCAATTCTTCAAGCATAATTTGATTAAGAGGTTTTGGTAAGGATAAACTTTGGAACGCTAACACCTCAGATCTTTACGCATACATACATACTCAGGTAGGTAGGTTATCAGATCGGGCTAC